TTCCCTACAGAAATAAGGCTTAAACAGTTCTGTCTGCATGGTAGTTCTCCTTCATCCTCTTCATCTTTGAAATCAGTGGCTGATAGAAAAACAGTTGTCATTTAGGAAGAGCTCTTGGATTAGGGGGTTTGTTTTGGTTTTGCTTTTTCTTTCCTTACATCCCTTGGATTTCAGTAATAGTGGGAAAGACTCTCCTACCTCTGTAAGGATATTTAATCCTCTTAATAAGCTTTAGGCTTCATGGTTACCTTCTGGCGGTAAGATCCACCACTGAGCTATACTTTTTTTAATATACATTATTTTTTAATGAAGTGGGGTTTGCTGCTTCAGAGGAAGGATAGGCAGCCAAACTGTTGAGGTGTTACCTTACAATACCAAGTTGAACTCAGGTTTCCCTATTGTATTGTAGCCTCCCTTGGTTGAGTCACTTAAAACCACAGAGTAAGTCTGTACTGATAAATGAAAAAGGGCTGAGGAATGAGCTCAAGCACTGGATTGATCTGTGATTATCTACCGTGCCCGTTAGTTCTTTTTTTAGCTCTGTTTTGGACTAGCCTTCTACAAGGCAAGTTCTTCTAAATCTTATTTAGTACTAAGTACAGATCTGGGTCCATCTGTACCAGCCATAGGACCAAAGGTTGATTTGCAACACTCTCTTATTTAGTCATACACACTTTGCCATTCATTCCAGCTTTACAACGGAGAAAATAAGGCTCTGCATTTTACAGAAATGGATTACAGATCAATATTAAAACATGCAGGGCACTTAAATACTGTATAAAGGTCATACACTGAAAATAATAATGACAGAGGATCTTCCTGGCATATGATCAGATTGCTACTTAGATGTTTGGTTTCAGAGAATATTTCTTCTTCCGGGTAGATACTTTATAATATTCTTTATTTTGTATTATTTTTAATAAGAAGAATGAGTTAAATTCAGTTCTTCAGGCTGACTTCTAGTTATCTTGTATTAAACTTAAAATCTACTGAGCTTTGCTGCCCAAGTGCATGGTTTGGTGCTAACTATGCTGTATGTATACTGCAAACTTGGGATGTTTCTGACAATCAGAGATGAGTTGTAACACTCCCGCTCTTCTGAATTGCTGAGGCAGCTTTTGTATCTCTGCCATGCATGGCCGTGCACTTAGTGCCGTGTATGCACCGATCGTGCTGACATCTCTCTCTTCTTACAGACCTTTTTAGTGTTAATAAAGGCTGAGCTTTAGCAAGAATAGTGGTGTTGACAGTATGACAAGCTTACAGTGAATAGAAAATATGTTCACTGTTAAGTTGAAATGTAGCTATGACTTTAGGTTTTTACTTGATCTCTTTTGTTTTATACTGACAATCACTAGCAAACTAATTATTTGAAATCTGGAAATTATCTTTGCCTTAGCTTCCTTCAGCAAAAACAAATAAACATGGGGCAAAGTAAACTATGTTTCTGCAGTTGCGTTCACATGAGTGAATTGTTTACTTGAAGGTTTAAGAAGGGACTTGTTACAGAATTAGATCCACAGGCACTAAAAATGTCAAAACACTGTAACTTCTGCTCATAAGAAACTAAACTATGATGTTAGGTTAAACTCTGTCTTTCTCAGGCTTCTAAACATTTCCTATGTTTTGGAAGCCTACAGTAATTTTAAAATCAGAGTTCTTTGCTGTTAAATTGTTTTTATACCCTTCTTAAAATGAAAAATGGTTTTTCTATTAGTAAAAAAGTTGACATAAGATGATGTGGTCTGGGAGTCCCTAGATTTTTTGCTAGCAAATAATTTGACTATGTATATGTTAAATGGCTAATGTCTGTATTTTTTTTATTACATGGAAACTTAAATAACCAGTGGACATCATATACGTAATGTAGGAACATAAGAATAGTTCTTGTAGATCATAAAATATACTTAACCATGTCATATAATTTTTCATATAAGGATCCAGCTATATTTGCAAACTTATTAGAGTTCTTTCTTTATAATGGCTTGCCATTGTGCTGGTCAGAAGCATACATATAACTTCTAAACATGATGTCCTTGGTGGTTATTAAATACACATTTATTCTTATGCCAGTGGTGTTCTTCAGCTTAAGTCAAAGATGTGGAGCCTACTGGCAGCAGGTGACTGCAATCAACCAGAAAAAACCCCTCCAGCCCAAGATTTGTTTTCCTGCTCCCTGATGGGAAATGGGCAGCGAGCTGCTGATCCGCTCCATGTGGGCTGCCTTCCCAAGCTGTCCTTGTCACAGACCTACATGTCTGTCATTGGACTGAAATCAGCGTCTTGTCTTTTGCATTAAATTGGATTCTGTTTCATTGTAGAAATACAGATGTGTTTCAGATTACACACGACTGCAGATGCATCAGTCGCATAAGAGCTACACCTGCATTCTGATCATAAAGGATGTGGGAGTAGAGTGCAGCATTCCATTTTTGCCTCTTTAAAATCTTTTCATGACCTGCACTTAAGTTTCTCTGTTTTTGTTGGCATAGGGGAAGGATATTTTCCAGATTATATATTTATTTATTTATTACTTTACTGATAGTTAGACTAAAACAAGAAGAGACATTAAGTAAACTTAAATATAGTTGCCATTTCAGGATTTTAATAAAAGTTTGGATTTCAGTAGTTATTTTTTTCTTTCCTGATTTACTTTCTTCTTTTCATCCAGTTTATTGTGACTAACCCATTATCATAGCCTTTGGTTTAAGGGCTTGGTAAGCCAAATTTACCTCTGTCTAGGGAAAAGAAATTGGTTCACCAGAAAATTTCAGTAGCCTTCTGCATGCCTCTTCTTGTACTGGGGTACTTGTACTACTTCTGGGGTAGTTTTCTTTAAGTAACTCAGCGTTGTGTGAGGTCTCACCAGTACAGTGGCATTAATGCTTTCGTATGTGTAACGGAAATGTTTTTCTTTTCACACTTTGAATTTTTCTTACCTCCATATTTTCTGTAGCTTGCTATCATTGATTGACAGATGTCTGTAGATTTTTCTCCTTTCTCCCATCCAGCTTACAGTACATAACCACTGTTTTTTCTTTAAAATGCATGCTCTTTCATTTTTCAATAGTATCGCATTTTTGTTTTCCATCATCAGTAGTCTGATTTTTCTGAATTGACAATGCCTCAACGCTGTCAGCAAAAACCTCACTGGCATTTTTTTACATTTTGTGTTGTAAACACAATCTTAGTCCAAGAATGATTGGTATTTGCTGCATTTGGCCAAGACTGAAGAGCTGCATTCAGTTAAAATAGTGATTTTTATGCGTTTAAATAATGGTTCAAATAATTTTTATTTAAAGGTTCAAATAAACATATTGGGTTATTTTCTGCTCTTCAGTTGTTGAAATCTATGTGAGGCTGCATGAGGAAGTAATTCCAAAACAGAAACAGAACCTGCAACCTTTTGTACATATTGGTACTTCAGGTTTTTGTCACCTGCACAGTGAAGACAGGAAGATGCCAGTGTCTTTCTCACTTTATAAACGTAAAAGTATTTTCCTGTTTATATTTTGTAAGGCATAGCTTTAGTTGTTCAAAGTATTTCTTCCCAATTCTGTGTCTATCTTGAAGTCTATCAAGATTTATTTAAATCTGTTGAGTGCCTTCCTTTAAATAATTTAAATAGAAATGTACTGAATTTGTAAATTCAGCCTTTATTTAAAGACACAAAATGTTATCTGAATTTTTTAATACTCTGGAGTTTTTAAAAAATTATTATGAAAAGTAAAGTTAGATTTGAAATTATTTTTTTACTCCACTATTTTCTACTTATCATAATACTTTTTAAGATGGAAAGTTTAATATAAGACATATCCATATTCTTCTGTTGTTTAACTTTTAAGAAATACCTCTCTGTGATGTAACAAGGTGCCATGGTTATAGAGTTAAATTCCTTGCTGACTCGGAATAATATATTCTAAATCTGAAGGTTAATAGGAGATAACCATAACTTACCAACCCCTGTAGCAAGCAACTAGATAGCTCTCTGCTGATACAGGAAGTATGGTCATTGTTAGAAACCAATTAGAAGACATTTTATTCTAAGGTAGGCTTTGTTTGGCTTCATCTGTGAATACTCTCACTAATCTATTCCAATTTGCAGTGATGGAACAACTACAGGATCCGGTTATGCAAGAAGATGCAAATATTAAAGCTATTAATGAAGAATACAGGAAAGCCTTTCTTTTTATTAATAAAGGACTGAATACAGATGAAAAGGGTCAGAAGGAAGAGGCAAGAGGTTATTATGAGCAAGGACTTGACCACTTACTCCGAGGAATTAGCATTCCATCGCAGGGTCCTGCATGTGTAGGGTCCCAGTGGGAGTCTGCCAGGCAAATGCAACAGAAGATGAGGGAGACCCTCCAAAATGTTCATGCGCGACTTGGCATTCTGGAACAAAACACCGCACCTGTGCAAGCAGGGCCTGCCGCCATGGATGCCTCTGCTGGGGTGCCCAAGTTGTACCCATCCATCCCTTCCAAAGAAAAGCCGAAAAGACCCCCCGCCCCCAGTTCTCTGCTTGTACCAAGTCGGCCAGCTGCAGCAGATGGAAGTGCTGCAACCGTGAGCCAGGGGCAACTGCCAGCTACAAGTCCATCAGCTGCAAAACCTCTTTGTCTGCCAAATGAAGCACCTCCTGCCTATACTCCTCAAGCTACCAATGGCCATTTTACTGTGTCTTACGGCACAGACTCTGGGGAGTTTTCTTCCGTAGGTGAGGACTACTATAGTAAGTGTACTCAGCCACCTCCTCTTGAAAACCTGGGAGTGGATGCAGACGAGCTTATCTTGATTCCCCAAGGAGTACAGATTTTCTTTGTGACTCCTGATGGACAGGTCAGTGCTCCTTCATATCCTGGATATCTACGCATTGTGAAGTTCTTGGATACAGATAGTGGGACAGCCCAGAATCGTCCACCTGCATTTCTTCAGGTAACAGGAAAATAATTTTCTCCTTTAATTATATTTCAAAAACTGTCATAAAACTTTAGAAGGGAATCTTCACGAGTTCTTGCTCCTCTGAGCTTTAATCTGTGTGTGACAGCATGAAGGATGTTACATCTCTTGGAATAATGTTTCTCTGCAAATGCATGCTTTTATTGTTTTTTCTGGGAAAATGACCTCTCTGACTTCCCAGGGTTCTCAAGTGCTGACTGTTCTGGTGAACTCCATTTTGTAAAGGAGTTGGTTTAACATGTCTTCTCATTTAGTAAAATTAACTTCCCTTTCTTTACGTAGAGAAGACATGTTGATACACCTATTGTACATGCCAGTGTAAAATGGGCTTGTGTGCTACCCATTTCAGTCTCAACTAGTGACAAGGTGTTGCAGTTAGGACAACTGATAATTTGGAATTTCAGGGCCCATGTTAATCCAGATTCTGAACTACAAATAAAAAAAAGATGCCTTACTTGGATTTTTTAGTCAATGCTTGCTTCATGTGGGCATGCTCTGTAATGTACCTAGTGCTTCTGGTCAGTTTTCTGACTTTGGAGCTCCTCATTGCTGCTAAGATTGGCTGTTGGAAGGCTCATCAGTGAAGGAGAAATTTGGAGGAATAAAATAAAACCATCTACTGGTTTTAGGTCTGCTGTTCACTTCCGCTAATGTTAGCAGTCTTCAACAGTTGGCCAGCAACAGCCAGACGTTCTGTTTATCCTATGATATAAACCTGTCCTGAGATACACAGGTGCAGTGAATAGAACAGAACTTGTTCGGCAGCACATTTCATCTGCTGCTACACCTGGGCATCAAGACTGGACCTCAGTTAAGAGGCTACCAGCCTGAATTACAGTCCTGTGAAAATTAGTATTTTCACTATATTAGACTGTCAGGACTAATCAAGAATAATATTTCCAGTCATGTGGGGTTTTTGTTTGGTTTTGGGTTGTTTTGTTGGTTTAGGGTTTTTTTCAAGATGGCATAAGGCTTTTTTATTTTTCTTACTAAACTTTATGGAAAAGCAAGTTTGTGGTGCTTATCAGTATGTTCTGCCTGCCTTTCTTTTTGAAAGGATCCTTTAATTTCCTTACATACTTTTCTAGGTTTGTGACTGGTTGTATCCTCTGATGTGTAACCAGTCTCCTGTTCTGTGCTGCAATACTGGAGTCTACATGTTCCCTGACACCATGTCTCAGATACCAGGCTCCTATGTGGGAGTAGTGTTGTCTTCAGAACTTCCAGCAGGTGACAGAGAGCTGTTTGAGGATCTCTTAAAGCAGATGTCTGACCTTCGAATCCAGGTAAATCTCTGGGCAGCCTTTTTAAGCTGGCTTTTTTAAGGTGGCAGTGATCAATATATTCTCCCATTTACAGCTGTGTAAAACTGCAAAGTTTTGTGTCTTGCTTGGTAAGTTCACCAGTGAGGAATAAAGTAGCCAAGATTAAGCATGCCTAGTAATAAAACTGTAGGCTCTGTGAGGTAGAAGGACACAAATTCTAAATTTTAAATTGTAAGCACAGAAAAGAATTGGAGGCTATTTTGCATATTTTTTATATATTTCCAAAAGAGAACCTAAGACCCAACATGAAATTTTGTGTTCAGGAGAAAGAACATTTTTTCCTGTGTGCTCATACACTGTGTAGTTTTGGTGATATCATTCTTGCAATATTGTGCCCAAATGTGTTTACAGTTCAAAAATGTTAAGCTGCTTCAGAGAAGGCCTGTGAAAATAACATGTACCTTAAAAATCTGCCTTCAAGTGGGATCTCAAAACAGATAAATCTAGTGCCTTATTACAGTAAGATATTAACAGATAGCGAAAATAGAAAAAACCCATAGTCTAACAAAGGTGCAATAAGATACCGTGACTGGAAAAAAGGTTAAAAGTGTTACTGTAAGAGCACTGGAGCACCATTTCAGGAAGAATGGTAATCAATAACTACTTAAAAGCTCATAGCAAGATTACATCTTTTCATGAAAGATGGACTCCTGTTGAATCGTCAGGACTTGGATGCAGTGATGATGAAGGACCAGTTTGCAGCCTGCCATGTGAGCAGAGTTCTGATATAAATCCTGTTGAGTTCAGCATGGAATTTCACTGGCACAGGAGGCCACTAATCTTTATTTAAAAGGAAAAGTACTACAGAATTATGTGATGTTTCAGTGCCAGACTTACTGGATAAAAATCTGTAATCTTTCCTGCATGGAAGTAGTTCAGATGGGATATCTCATTAGTTCCTTATTGTCCTAAAATTCCATGTTTTTGTTAATGTTCCCTGATACAATGTCACAGGTGCCAGGATCCCATGAGAGAGTAGGGTTATCTTCAGAGCTCCCAGCAACTGAGAGCGCGCATTTTCAAGATAAATTTAAACAGATGTCTGGCCACAAAGTCCAGGTAAATTCCAGGACAGTGATTCCAAAATTTCATACTTAAAAAAAAAAAAAAAGAATTGTCACTGAGATACATGTTAGAACTGCTGAGAGAAAGCAGCAATGTATGCTGTGCCCTGTGCATTTGGATTTTTTGTTTTGTTTTGTTTTGTTTTTAATTTGGTTTCTTGTTTGTTTGCTGAGAGCTGGTCCAGTTACTGCATGCCACCATATTTTGGAAATCAGTAGCAGATTTATGGAATTTTAAAAACTTTGTGATAAAGCACAAATACTTCAAAGCCTAGTCTGATACATGTAATGTATCTGTTTTATATAGTAGTCATGAGGATCTAATTAACAACTATATCTAATGTATAGTTAGTGTATACACTAATATATGCTATACACTAATATATACTATACTGATGTATAGAGTGGCCTTTCTTATTAGAGAATCCATTTCTCCTCCTTAGTAAAGGCCTTATAAGCCTCATTGACTGTTTTTTTTATATAGTGACCCAAACTGTGGTGTAACTAAATTTTTAATTTTTAATTTTTTTTGTTGTTTTAGTTATAGCTGTGTATTAAGGTTATTTTTCCTGCTCAGCCCACAAAGTGTTTTGGTCACGTGCTAAAGACATTTCTTAGACATGAGATTTTCCACTGCTGTCAAGCAGTAATTGATGATACAGCACAAGTCAGTGATATGTTGTTAACCTAGCAACTTTCTGAGACTTATCTATTCTTTTCTGTTAATGTTGCTTTTGTTTTGTTTTACTGCAGCAATCATCTTTGTACAATACCTTGGTTTTATTTTCAGTAAATATTTCAGGGGAATCCAGTAATTCCATGTACTGTCACATATCATTCTATATTGTGTATTCTGTTCTGTTCATAGGTTTCATTTGTGAATGCTTTCATTTAGACTCTTCTAGACTAAACAAAAAAGGTTTTTTTTTTTTCTATCTGTCATTGACTAGCAGTGTTCTCAATCATTAATATGTGGTGGGTGTTTTTACTTTTACATGGGAAAAGTCCTGAAAATAGAATCCTAACCAAAACCTAAATCTATGACAGTTTTTTTGCTTCTCTAAAGTTTAACTATGGATTGTCTGTGAACTGCATAAAGTGATTTTAGAAACACTAACCAAACTGTGGTGGTGGTTGCTATGATTGTATGATTAATGTCTGCTCCAGAAGCTCTAGTGTTTTACATGAAATCACGCAGAATCTGTCCACCCAACTTTAAATGGTAAGCAGTGTCATGCACAGCTTGATGTGTTCCTTGGCTGTGCTGGTCTGCAAAAGCATTGACAGCACATAGAATGAATAATCTCCTTTAGTTTTGAATTTGAGAGGGAAGGATGAGGAGCAAAACAACCAGAACAGGTGCATCCTTTTAGTGCAGCTGGATTCTCTGACCAAAGACTGCAGTACCCATACTGAATAACAACAGAGTTGACTTCCCTCTGAGAAGATAAAAATGACAGATGGACAAGTCTCTTACCTTTTTTGGTAGTTAACTTGTACTGTAAGTTTTCCCTATTTAGTTACTTGACCATATGGCCATGTTGGCATGCAAATCTTTTCATTGTAACTGAATGAAGAAAGTGTGCAGAAAATGCTGAGCTGTCTGATAAGCGTCTTTTGACTACATAGCATTTATGTGCAAATGTAATTGAATCACAGATATCTGAATTTCTGTGCACTTACCCAAGAAATACACAGCATTACTGTTTTCTGATAATGGATCTGTATGATCTAAACCAGATGAAATCCTGATGATATGTTGCAAAGTAGATTCTCAGATGTGTACTTTCACTTGTTAGCCTTCAGAAGCCTCTAGTGATGCAGTTAACTTGCCTCAGACTGTGCATATCCAACCACAACCCGAAGGAGCAGAAAATCAAAAAGAGTTGCCAGAATGGAGTGAGAAAGTTGCCCATGGAATCTTGTCAGGTACTGTTGTAATACGAGGATTACGCTGAATATAAACCTCTGTGAGTAACCCCTGTGACTCACACCACTGTGATAGAACAATTCTACTCCTGTATGAGCAGTTATATTAAAGCAGGTATCTATTGTGATTTCTGCAGGTAAACACTTTATTTTCTTCTCCTCTGAGAACCTTTGGAATGTACTATTGACCACCACCTGGCTGTGATAAATATGAATCCTCTAGGAGGGCTAGAGGGATGGGTTGTATGTTTTCAGACTGTTAATAGCATTGAGATGTGCAGTTCTGTCACTTCTGACACAGCTGGGGCTTTGATATCTATGAAAAAACTGAGTATCTGTATTAAGCTGACATTGGGATGAGGAGTGGCTGTATATAACTTACACAAAGTGACCTGAAAAAATCTGGGTGGTGTAAGAGCAGAAATCATTGCAGGAATTTGTGTTGGCCCATTCAGGGAAGAGTGTAATTGCTGACTGTGTAATCAGGATGCATGTAATCAGGCATGTTTCTAAAGTCAGTGTTGCAGAGAAGGGAAAGCTGTAGGAGTCATGGTCTGTCAGATTGTGCATTCTAATAAAAACAATTTTTGCTTTGAAGGTGCATCTTGGGTAAGCTGGGGCCTAGTGAAAGGAGCAGAATTTACTGGTAAAGTTATCCACAAAGGAGCTTCTAAACTACGAGAACACATTCAACCGGAAGAAAAACCTCTGGAAGTCAACCCAACTGTAGCAAAGGGGCTTCATGTAGCAAAACAGGCTACTGGAGGAGCTGTGAAAGTCAGCCAATTCTTAGGTAACAATTTCCATCTCATAGTATATTATATTTTTGCCTTAAATAAAAAATATTCTGTAAAATGAGAGCAGGTTTCTCTAGGCAATGAACTAGAGGAGGGACTGATCTGATGAAGTCCAGTGATCAGTAGTTTGTGTCTAGTTATCCCCTGCAAGAAGCATGCTTTAGAACTAATATTTATTATATGGCCTTGAGCACCTTTTTCTTTCCTAAAAGAATCGTCTGTCTAGTCTTAAGTTTGGCATGTTTTTCTAAGTTTTAGACAGTTAATTCAAAATGGGCTCTTTCTCTATTCTTAAGTTGATAACCATGTATTTTAAAAGCTGTAGTGTCACTGGTTACTAACATACATATTATACCACTAGAGAATACATGTGTGCATGTTTTTATATATGCACACCCGAAACAAGTCCATTAGACTATGTATAAACTTCCAGATAGAAATGGGTTGGTGTTCAGAGGTGCTTGGTAACCCTAGCAGCTTTCAGTTACTTTGTCCTGTTATTTATTTGCATTAATGTTTATATTTAGTGTCTAGTGACTCATCCAAGTTTAAAAGCAAATTGTGCTGGATGTTACAAAACTACTTTGAAGAGCTGGAATGACTGTAAGAAGGAAGACAAGTCAGGAAAGAAACACAGCTTGTTCCCTATCTGCAAGTTGGGGGGTAGCAAAACAATGGAAACAGTTTCTTGAAATTAGAGTGTGAGATGTCTATGTATTTCTCTTAAAGTGCTTTTTAGGCAAAAGACCAACCTTACTTGTTTCTTAGGAGCTGTGCAGAATCTGAAAAATAAGGTTTCTTCTCTGTCAGTTAGGTACTTAAGCATGCGTTAATGTCTGTCTTTCAAATAAGCATATTTAAATAGAAGCAGTACTTACCTTTAAAGAAAGATGGTCTATGTTCTCACTAAATAATGTGCATCCTATTGTTTTATGGTAGTTGAGGGAGTGTGTTCTATAGCAAGCTGTGTTGGAAAGGAGCTGGCTCCACACGTGAAGAAGCACGGCAGCAAATTAGTTCCAGAAGCCCTTAAGAAAGATAAAGATGGCAAATCCACTTTTGATGGTGCTCTGGTGGTAGCAGCAAGTGGAGTTCAAGGTAATAAGAATTCCTATGCTTTTTTAATTGCATACTTTTTATACTGTTTGCATGAACTCAAAGAAACTGTTCATTTTTACAGGGTTTTCAACAGTGTGGCAAGGTTTAGAAAGTGCAGCAAAGTGCATTGCTAAAAGTGTTTCAACGGAGACTGTAAAAACTGTCAAATACAAGTAAGTTATGTTTTTACTGGTTTCATCTTTTACAACATATTGTCCTTGTGTTTGAGTACTGGCCAAAAAAAAACCTTATGAAAGTGCAGGGAAACTAACTGAAATACCTGCTTTGCTGTTATTAGGCAGCACATTATTAGCTGCTAAGGGCACAGTAATGAGCATCTCCTTAAAGCAAAAATATGAAATGAGTAAATGTGGTATTTTTTGGCTCTCTTCTAGAAGTACTGCAGCTTCAGGCTGTGTTACAATAATGTTGAGATTTATATCTGCCCTACAGCATAGTGCCATTATGAAAAAAGATACGGGTTTAAAACTCTCAGCTCTCATCCTGAATTTATGTAAACTTAGCTAAATTTGAAGAAAACTGGAAGAACTTCCATCTGTCAGCAGATCTGACTAAAGTGAGGAGGTACAGCAAAGTACAAATTTACAAAAATTGTGTAAGGAAATCTAAAGCATCAATAGCAATAATAGGATAGCCTTAACTTGCAAAATAGAGAAGTCTTCGGAAAAGATAATGGGGGAAGAGGGTAGTAACATTTGGGATTAAGATGATTGGGATTTGGGATTACTAAAATGATAGAAAGAACAAAGTTGAATGTATGTACTGGAAGATGCTGTGGAGAATATGGGAATATACTGAAATAACTGCAAAATGTATGAAAAACAGCCCTGGAAAAAAGTGCAATAGGTATAATAGAAAGTGAACGGTAAGCAAAAGAATGTAGGTTAAATGGAATTGGTGATAAGTGTAGCAAAAGAGGTGTTAAAAGGATGGCTGGAAGTGCATACAGGCTACTAGCAGAAGGTAAAAGGGAAAACATCACTATGCAGTACTAAGTGGAGTGGCATTTGGGGTTGTGTTGTGATGCATTTCAAGGAGGAGGCCAGACAGTGCAGTTCTGGTCAGTGGTGCTTTATTGCTAATGTTTGTTTGCAGTGGAAATGTCAGGAGGTATTGTACTGGTATTCATTTCATGTAAATTCACATTAATGTTTTTGTTTTAGATATAAAAATAGGAAATACAGAGATCAGCAGTCAACAGCTACTGAGTGAAAAACAATAAGTAATTAAATGTTGCCGTTAACTACAATACAGTTGAAAATATTTGATATTTGATCTTTAGAATCTATCTATATAAATATATTACAATTCTACATCTCTTTTGGAAGCTGGTTTCTGTTTCAGTGACAAAGATTTCTGCCACTCAAAATACTTCAGTGATTGAGTTAAATTCCACTTAATGGAAACAAAGCTAAAGGAGCATCATCACAGTGCCTCTAAATCAAGAAAACTCGTCTAAAATTTAGCTGCAATATCTTCATGAATGGAATTACAGAGAGATGCTTATCATATGTGTATGTTGATCAGAATTGGGGGAAAAAGTAGCTTCAGAAGTAATATTTCTGTCAAAGTACCATGCTACTACCTTAGTGGGGTTTTTACAGTGGTATAAGTAACTGCAATATCTACATCTGCAAAACTCTTCTCTTAAGAAAACAAAAAGCCAAACAGAAGAAAAAAAACAACAAAAACCCCACAGGCAAAAAAACCCCACAAAAAAAACCCCCCACAAAAAACCCCAACCAAACAAAAAACCCCAAGGAGTGGCAAATGATGCAATTGAGACAAACAAACTGAAAAATCAATTATCAAATATTAAGAAATTGTTAGTCTAACTGTATTGGATAAACTTCAATTTTACTTTAAATGAGGTTACTTATTTTACTGATATTATATAAATCTGGCTAATGATATTCCTGAGGTGGAAGTAACAAATCAAATTGACAAATTCTGCACTTTTGCTGTGAGATTAATTCTGTGGTCTGCGAATCAGATGGTGGTGATTCAAGGCTATTACTCTATCAGAGAATTGAGAACAAAACAAAGCAAGCACTCTTTCTTTTTATTCGGTTTCACTGTTGGCTCCAGCCGTATTAGGGCTGCTGTTCTGGTAATGTGATAGATTTCTGGATTCTTTGATATTCTGTGCTTCTCTCTAGCCTTAATTTGAAGGCCTCAAAGAATCTCTGGTCCTAAGAAGCACAGGGAAAAAGTAACTCTGGTAACTGCTGGGATCCTGACGCTGCCAGAAATATTTCCCTCTGGCCTGGTTTGTCTGATTCCAGTGCTCTCTGGGGGACATGTCTGGCTGTCTGGAATGGTTGGAGTTGCTGCTCTCACTATGCTCTTGTCCTCCTTCAGTATGCTCTCTCTACTGGTGTAGATGTGCACCTTTCTTCACACTCAAGTAATTAACACGAGACTGCTGCCTTGCCCCTTAAAGCATTAAGAAGCTGAACCCACACCCCAGGGGTGAGACCAGAGGTTTTAGGTCTTGGTCATTTTCAACAGGTCCTCAAGATGGCTTTGAGCCTTTTGGGGTTTTGTGTAACTTTTGCTCCCTGACCACTCCCCCCCTTCCCCTTTGCCACTGTATTGATTCTCGGTTACTCCAGATAAGTTTCCACTGCACAATGAAATTTTTCTGTAACAGGGTTTGCCCTTCCTCCTCCTCAGTGCTGCCACCCATGGTACAGACTGAGAAGGTTTAGCAGCTGCCAAGGTCTAGCTGTGAGGACTTACAGGGGGGAATGGAGAGCACCAGAAGTTTTACCTGAGAACTTAGGTGAAAAAGTACTTAGGGGTTATTCCACACAGCTCCCCCACACCCCTCATCTTATTGTTCTATGGATAAGCCTTCTACTCTTCAAAACTAGAGGGGAAGGAGGGAGAAAGACAGGAAGGTGTTTTGAGGAAAAAGGGCAGAAGCATATTGGTATCTTTAAAAAGTTATCTGTCTGATAGAGGAGCAACCCTTCCTCAAATGGCTTGGTAATTTCTCATTTTATTCTTCAGATATTCAGGTTGTGTGCTTATTGTTTATTCTTGGTAATGCTTAAATTTTTGCTTTCTAAAGAATTCTAACAAAGAGAACAATAGTGAGTATACATATCTGCAAAACTGCTATCTTTTAAAGGTATGGAGATGATGCTGGCCATGCTACAGACAACGCTATGAATTCTGCAATCAATGTTGGTATGACAGCATTTAACATTGACAATATTGGTATCAAAGCTGTTGTAAAGAGAACTGCAAAGGAAACCGGCCATGCTGTGTTAGATGAGTATAAAGTGTTGGATAAAGAGAAGAAGGATAAAAAATGAAAGCAATTAAATATTTCACAAAGCCTTACATTAGAGATGAAACTTCCTATTTAGAAGTAACTACATTGCTAATCTGCGATACAGCACAAAATCACACTGTACTTTTCAAGCAACTGTTACTTAATTTGACATGAAAATGTAAAAGTAGGGAGGATATTTGTAGAAGGGAAAAATGAAAGTTGTTTTAACATCTTGTTCTGTGTTGAATGGGTTTTAAACAACTGGATCAGGGCTTTAGACAACTGGAAGGGTATATCTTTGCGGTTAATAAACTTGCCTCTGTAAGCACTTTTTCAAAATACAATATGGAATAATAGATTAATGTAGAAATACTATTGTGACTATTTTCGTAATGCTTTATATTTGTAAAGAAGGTGGTGATACAGGACAGGATAACTAATTCTGGAACAAACAGGATTACTGGTTTTGGTTTTTACTAAACTTAAGAGTTATTTTTACTAAAACACCATGTCTTATTTAATATGCACTACTAAAATAAGCTTTGTGTTTCATTGTTTTATAGAGAATTACCCTTTTCAGCTACCAAACAGCTGATCTTATCCAAAGTTCATGTTAGAAGAAATGAAAGATGAGCCTCAGGTAACTAGGTATTTATTCCCTTTAAAACTATTTTTTTCCATCCAGCACAGTGGGAGGTGTCCCTGCCCATGGCAGGGGGGTTGGAAGTAGATGATCTTTCAGATCCCTTCAACCCAAACCATGTTATGATTCTATGATATAAGCAAACCAAAGATCTCAAGCATTTCTTCTAAAAAGAGAGTATTTACCACTCTAGGAAAATATTTTTTCCCTGTTGACGCCATAAGGAGTGAACAAAGATTCTTTGAGATTGAGATTTTTATGTAGATAGGATAAGTATGTTTTTGCACAGATTAAAGTATTTTTCTGTAAAAACATTCTGTAGAGGACACTAGGAACTTCTATGCATTCCGTACTTTTAAGCCAATCTAGAAAGATTCAGAGTATAAACCATGGCCTCCTAATGGAAGACATTATGTATTTGCTTCAACAAGTAGTTCCAATGGTCCGCATCTTTTTTCCATTAAATTCATAGTTGCACAAGGTGCATCTTTAAAAGGTATGAAGACAAGCTCTTTTAATGAAGACATGTGTGTGGAATAGAATAGACAGTACTCTGTAGGTTTTTCATCCTTCTCTAGCACAGCGTGAAATAACTGCATGTGTAGAATCCCTGAGATGCTTTTACACTGCTACTTACTTAACAGTTCATGATTGTGTTTTAAGGCTATTGGCTGGACCTGCAGCAAACACAACCTCTCCCCATTTCATGTAAATGGAGAAAATAACTTAATAGATGTTAGCAAATGATATTTGCATCAGATTGAAAAGATACAGTAACAACTAATGTCTATTAGAATGGTAATAGGTGCACATTTTGTGGTAGCTACTGTGGGTGTGTACTTTGGATGGGAAATGTTAAACAAAGGATCTAACCACTTTAAGTGTAACTGATTTATGGAAATAAAGATGAAATTAAAATTGGTTAATCTGTTCTTGGCCTTTTTATGATGTGAAGCTACTGTACAGATCAGGGAGTGGAAAGACTAGGACTTCTGAAATAACAAGAGAACAGTATTGGGATATGTCTATGACAGGCTGCCTTAGCCTCGTATCTTAGGTTTGTTTTTCATTCCGTGCTTGGCTTTTTTTCTCCTTTGAACACAGAACATTGTATGGCAGTTCTATAAATTGTCTTATCAGTGCTGTTTACTGAGTGAACAGCTATCTGATTTCCTAATGCATTCCTGTTTCCAAATGAATTTATTCAAAGTCTTTTCTGCTACAATATCGGTCTCAAATCTTGCCCTTTATACAAACTTGGGTGCATTGCTGCTTATCCTTCTGTAGTGCACACTGGAGAAGAGTCTGGCTTCTGTGTCTTCTCTGCACCCTACTCCTGCAAGGCTGTTGACAGCACAAAGATCTCCTTATGCCTTCTGTTCTGCAGGCTGAACACAGGCCACGTATGCCAGCCCCTGAGCAGCTTGGCAGGCTGTAGAATTTGTTTGGGAGCCCCAAGCTAAGCACTCCAGTGTGTGGTCCCACAAGTGCTGAACAGAGTGGAAGAAGCACCTCCCTCAGCCTCCTGGCTCTTGCCAGGAGCTCTTGCTAATGGAGCCCAGGAGGCCATTGGCCTTGTTCACTACAAGGTGCATTGCTGGCTCCTGGTCAGCTTGTTCACTAGAGACCCCTGTGTCTTTTCACTTGAAGTTGCATTCTAGTTACTGTCTGCAGCCTGTACTGATGCATGGGCTTTTCCCATCCCAAATGTCTGCCTATACACTTGGTTTTTGTTGAATTTCATCATTGGCAAACTTGCTGAGAGTGTGCTCATTCTTCCAGGATGTTAATAGAGAATTAAGGGTATTGGCTCAGATAACGATCTCAGAGTCAAGCAGTTGTACTGCTGATCACCACACTTTAAGCCTGATGGCCCAGCCAGTTTTCCAGCAACCTTATTTCCCAGTTATCCAATCTGTATCTCACCAATTTGGCTATAAAGGTACTATGGGAGACTACCTCAAAGGCCTTAGTAATGTCAAAATATCCATCAGTTTCCTCTTGTCCACACAGTTATCTCACGCTACCTTACTTATAGGTGCTACAGAAATAACTACTACTGTGTAATAATTAATGGCATAATCCAAATGTTTGTCTTCAGTAACTGGTCAACCTTGCTTTTAAGCAACTCTAGCTTTTAGTGCCTTCACATAATCCGAAGATACATATTAGAGTATAAAATTCTTTTTCAAGCCACATTGTGTTGTGGGCAAGTTTCATACCTTTTCTTACTAAAAAAATAGTTTCAAAAGTAATATTAAAAGCCTTAAAACATCTGTACATTTATAGGTATCCATATATCTAATTTTAAAAGATTTGGAATAAAGAAATGGAGGAAAACCCTCATGTGTTGCAAGCATCACGATGGTACTGCAGTACTTGGTAACAGTTTTACTGGTTGGAAGTTTTAACCCACTCACGCAAGACACCAGTCCACAAGACACTTCTGCTCTTCTCCCACTCCAGCTCCCAAACCATCTGGCAAAGCACATCATTAGACCTGTCCTATACCAGCCCAGCCAGTGTGGTCTGGGCTTGTCCTAATGTGCACTGTGAGCTGGTTCCTGAGAGCTCATCTAGGTAGGACACCCGGTAACCCCTGAGCTGAGGCTGAGACTTGCAGGTATCCTGGAGAGGAGGTCAGAGAGGTCTCCTGGGGCAGAGAGTGCTCTGTGGCCAGGATACAGCCCTCAGTTACTGTCTGCTCTCTGCTCTCAGACTTCCTTGTGTTTCCTGGGATCTTTCTGAGGTCTCTGAATGTGCCCTCCAGTTGAGAACTATTCAGGAGAGTGGTTAAGTTAATCTTGAAGCAGTTCTTCACAAAAACTGGTAACAATAAAAATGGTTACTGATAACACTTTTGCTGCTGAGATTCAGTACACTGAGTGTTGTGGTTTTACTGGGATTGAATGGTAGAATTCAATTTTCTCTTCAGGAGAGCTCCTATTTTGGAGAGGATTGCAGTGCTCAATATACACTTTGTTTCAGTTTTAGCTGGAATACAATTAATTTTCCTCATAGTGGCTAGTGAGACTTCATTTTGGATTTGGACTGAATGTTGACAGCACACCAATGTTTTGATTGTTGCTAGCAGTGCTTACATTGGAGTCAAGGTTGGACTGTTTTTCAGTTCCTCCAGCTTTATGTTTGGGTTTTTTTTTTTCCCTTTTCTCTGCACAAGAGGATGGAGGGGACCAGAAGCCCGGGGCATTCTGGGATAGATGACCCAGGACAGATGACTCAGGCTTGACCCAAGCTGCCCAACAGAATGTATGCTATGCCATAAACATCACACTTACTGTAAACTGGGGAGTTTGTTGGGGATATCCTCTCTTCAGATGGCTGCCATTTCCAGAAGGTCTAGCTCATTTGATTCCTGAGGCTTATCCCTCCCCTATTGCTGACCATTGCGTTTTCACTGGTGCACAGCCAGCAACTGCTGTTTAACTTTGATTGTTATTTATTATCATTGTTTCTATTCTTATTGCAGTTCATCATCATTATTATTATAATATTATTATTATTATTATTATTAAGTTGAGTTTCCTTTAATCATTAATAATGTCTTTATTTCAACCCATGAGGTTTTTTTTTCACTTTCACATTTCCAATTCTCTTCCCCACCCCCCTGGGGAACAGGGAGGGGAGTGAGCAAGCAGCTGTGTAGTGTTTAGCTGCTTGCCGGGTTAAACCAGGACAGGCCTTTTGGGGTGCCCAATGTCGGCACTATCAACATTCAGTCCAAATCCAAAATGATGTCTCACTAACTACTATAAGGAAAATCAACTGTATCCCAGCTAAAACTAAAACAAAGTGTCTGTCAAGCACTGCAATCTTCTCAGAAATGCAGCTCTCCTGAAGAGAAAATTGAATTCTATAATTTGACCCCAGTAAAACCAGGACACTGAGTTAGTTATGAATGCTAACCTAGGTCCAAGTCATTACTTAAATTACTGGTTTGGTATGGCATGTGTTTTCAATATATATCTTAAAAAGGTAGCATTCAGTAAATCCTGAAGGCAAAATGAGCAGCTAAATTTAAATGCAGTTACAGTGCAGCACTCTTCTAAATTTGTTTCTTGATTAAAATATTTCAGACAATTTTGAATTCAATGCACAGCTCAAGTGATAATTCACTGATTAGATGATAGCACCAATTACAACTTGAGACTGTCAAAAATCACCTCCTGCCCTAATACATATGAGACAAGTGAAATTAAAATTACTTTTTCTTCTTACGGTCAAGCTTCTCACTCTCATCCTACTGTTCTACTCCCAGGCACTGGATCCTGCTGGATTACTGACCCTGCTGTTGCAGTATCAGAAAGGTGTTAAGGTTGGCCCATTCCAGTGTCACAAACCACCATCTTAGGACAAAAAAATCACAAAATTTCAGGGCCAACTTTGGATGGCAATGCTGATTTATGCTTCATTAAAGTAATGTATTAATACAGCCTTTGTTTTAAACTTTGAAAGCAGTGCCTCCATTACCCAACAAGCTGTAGGGCTATTGCATTTGGCTTGCTGCTCATGCAACAGAATGACTTCTGAGTATCTGAGAAATTATACCCTTTGTTTTTTTCACAGTATACCAGTAAAGCA